TTCCTGAGGACTCAGATGTTATTCCTCTGTACTCTGTAAATTCATGCCATATCCCACCCTTTACTTACCACACAGCTGCTTTACGGTTGAAACACGAATGGAACAGAGGTACCCAAGCAAACGATTTTTGTACAAAGTCTCTCTAAGTCAAAGGTAATTTTTTTGTAATATTATTAATGTGAAAATAAATTTGTAATTTTTCGGAGTTGTAACGACTTAATTGTTACCAAATCTAGCATACACGTAGTAGGTAAGTTATTTGTTATGAAGTAGGGCGTAGGATTTTCATCCCAATCGTGTGGAAGAATTCAACGTAGTAGGTACATGTAAATTTCACAAGACTGTTTCCACTTTTCGTAAAACATAATTATAGCAAATAGCAAGTATTTGATTTTTAATGAATGATAATAGAATGGTAACCCCACCCGCGCTAACGGTATACACCGGCGTGGCAACAGTGAAGGATGATAGGTGAGGATGAAGCAGGTCAGTTAGCCCATCGTGATGAATTCAACAAGAATTGTTCACGATGGTTTCCAGGGGGAACCACGCGGAGGTCGACTTAATAGGGCAAATTACTAACAATGGGGCTGTCAAACTCCATTGCTAACAATATATTTTAGACTAGCTTTTTGCCTATTACACTGTACAAGTGGAAAACGGATATCGATTTCAGGAGCAGGAAAACCAATAAAATAGATTTCACTTCAAGATCAAGATAAAACCTATAACCAGTCTTTAAATGAGAGCTTCAGGAATACAACTATGAAAAACACACCCAATTTCATGCAGTGATTTTTGCGTCATGCTTACAAATATACAGATAGATACATAAACGGACAGACGAAATTTTTTATAATTAATTTGGCTTCTATTGCTCTTATTGAGACTCGATAAAAGATATTCAATTCTTGTGTACAGACATCGTATAGTTATAATTTTATTATATTAGTAATATTAGACACGTGTGTATATATATTTCACGCGGCGTTGCCCGCTTGTATGTAGTCCCCGTATATCATTCCTGTTGGAACCTTTCATGAGTCCGGTCTTATATATGATATGATATATATGATAACTATATACCTAATATCTTCATAAAGTTTCAGCCAATTCAACTGATCGGTTATTTTATAGTATTTTATATGTGATTCTTTAGATTGATATAACTTTTTTATTTATGAACTGATTAAAATAAAACAAATACTAAATGTTAATTGAAGTAAACACAACACATTAGTGTAAACCGCATTCAAATCGGTTAAACCGTTTCTGAGATTTGCGTGTACAAACATATAGACAAATAAACAAAAATTCTAAAAATCATTGTTTTGGTTTCTATCGCGTTCATAAAGCCCTCCCAGTTTTTCTCATATATCTTTCATGTACAGACAGCGACCAGTTACGTTTTTTATATATGTATTGATTGATGATAATGTATACACGTGTCTTTATACTTACAACTATTTTATATTCACATTTTATAGTCACAATATATGATTTCGTAATAGGGCGATATCCTGCGATATCCAAAAATACCGTTCAAATTACTCTCCAATTCAATGACTATTAGAGATGATTGTCACGCAATAAGGATGTGTTGTTCGGTTTCTGTCTATGCTCTATTGATAGGTAATTGAACGAAATTGGTGTAGGTGCGCCAGAAGTTAAGGTCTATCTGTGGAAAATAATCTAAGTACGTATTAATGGGTATAGTTACGGAACAATAGATGATAGATTCAGTAAGTCGGTACATGATATAACATACGTTTTTATTTTATTATAAAAAACGCTTAAAAGATTTTGATATCGTTGCAAATTATAATTTTATTAGTCAATAATTTCGTTCCAAGAATATATATTTACAATTTAATTCTCCTAGACGAAGAGAATTTTCAATCAATTCCCCAAAAAGAAGGAGATTATCATCCAGTAAATTTTTTATACCTTTCAACTGAAATACAACCATGCAAACACAACTGACGGCCCACCAAGAAAATCGATGGAAAGTGGTAAATTTACAATATATTTACAATTTAATCCTCCTAGACGAAGAGAATTTTCTATCAACTTTAAAACAAGAAGGAGTATATTCGGTCGTATTTTTTATATTTATTACCATATAACTGCGTCAGTTCTAAACCAATTTGGAAAATTCCTTTTTTTATCTAAAAGGATATACTTACAGATTACTCCTATAGAACATTTATCAAAATCCGTTTGTAGTTCAGTTTTTAGATCAAAATAATTGGTTTTGTCACAATTAAAGTCTTTCTTTTTTTGTGGGAAACAATCTTTAATTGTGTGTTTTTATTTCATACAAGTAATAACTTTAATAATCTTCACTTTGTCACATATTTCTATGCCAAAATACTTACTAATATTATAAAGTGAGTTTATTTTGTGGCCACTTAGCATTTGAAGGCTCAACCAAATTTCATGATGTAAAGTCACTGGTAGTGGGGAGTATTCGAAATATAAAATAATTAACGTCTCTGGCTTTGGTCCTGTTTTTGTATGTTTTTGTTTTTATATCTAGGTTCTAACACAAAACCTACTTAACGGCATATCAAAAATATTTTACTTAATAGAAAACTTATTCATATATGATATTAAATTTTTTATTTCGTTAAGAAAGATTCGTAGCAGGTCAATGTAGCGTAGAATTGCAAATTGTTCATTTTCCTTATTTGCTGCGAGGGCAAGTACCTGTGGCTGGTCCTACATAGTTAACGATTTCCTGCATACAGTGTAAAATTGAAATCATTAATTCCTTTTAAGAGAATGTGTTACCAGAAGTGTGTGTTACCAGGGAAATTAAAGATTTTTCCACAAAAACATGTGTCGAAAAATGACAAGAATTTTTTCGCTTGCCACAATATATAGACAACTTAGATTATATAGATAGAGCATCAAGTCTCAAAAACGAGACAACTTTTAGCTGACTCGTTTTTTTTATCAGTGTTCTATATACTTACGCACATAATGTATTTTGACGTATTTAGATTTAATTATTTAATAAATAAAAAGAGTTTTAACTCATTAAAAAGATACAAAAATTATAAAACAAAATAAATATAGAAGTTATAAAGGAGACACTCATAACTATGTATTTATCGCGCAAAATTGTATGAAAAAGTTGACCTGTTTTTCTTGATGCATTTGTATGGAGATACTCTATCTATATAATCTAAGATACACACTAGATACACGATACCAAAACTGAATTTAATTTTTTAAATTAATAAACGATAAAACTCCCATATAAATAGCGACAGGCATAAATGTTAATATGGTAGGAGATGAATCCAAACTTTTTGTCGTTTATTAACCTATGTTTCTTTAAAATAATTATTCTCTTAAATGATTCTAATTAATGATCTTGATTTTACTCTGTAGAATAGTATTATTTATATTGATTATTACATATGTGACACGAGTTTAATTAGTATTTGGCAGGCTTTTATTTTGTCATCAAAAGTCATTATAAATTTGCATAATCATTATAATATACTTATAATCGGCAATTTTGGTTCATAGTTTAGGATTTCCATGCACTATTACCTTTTATAATCACATTGAAAACGACTGTAGTTTAGTAGTATCTAAGCAGAAAAATTACGCTTATTATTACCTCCAAATCGCAATTTTTTTATATAATGAAAATAACAAATAAGTAAACTGTTCGCCTAATGGTAAACGGTAACTGTAACCTACAGACAGCTACAATATCAGGAGTGTCATGTTTGCGATACCGATCCTGAAGAAACCTTAATACATACTTTTTGAAGAAAAATCTCGTTCGTAACTATGCGACTAGTCGCCTTATTGCTGGCAATATACTATATGTAGCAAAGTATGTGGAGTCTAAAACACCGGACATTGTAGTTAATTCCTGATGAATTCGTCACGATGGGCCAACTGATCTAATTTTGTCCTTACCTATAATCGTTTACTGGTACCTCGCCAAAGTATACTAGTACCGTTAATAGTACAGGCGGGGTTATCATTCCAATTTCATCTCTAAAAACTACTTACAAGCTGCTTCCAATATGTCTATAGGAAAATTTATTACTACAATACGTACGTATTTCTCGGTTTGCCCAATGGTTGACTGGTAGTGAACACTGTCTGGTGTTAAATCCGCCAAATGTACATAGAGTTTTACTGTGTTTTAAAGATTAAATATTTTATTTTTATTTTCTTCATGTAGTAGCGTGGTGCTCTCAATAGTAAATTTCAGTATTAAATCTTTTGTTTAATAACTTGTGGTTAATTATGTAGATTATATTATTAATTTCCTTGATAATTTAATTCTTAGGAGCTCTTGCTATTCACTAGGATTTTCCGCGAGTCTCTTTACCTCTTGATAGGACACGATACCAATTGTTTATTTCTTTTTTATACAATGTAACTGTCTACTCAAATAAATAAATAGATAATACCCAAATATAAGAAATACCTTTTTGTATTTATTATATATATTAATTACCAGGTTTATTATTCTTTTAGTTATTATTTTTATGCGACTTCAAAAAGGAGGAGTTCCTTAATTAGTTTTTATTTTTCGTGTGTTAATGTTATGCGAAATTTTCACTAACCCTTCTTTGCATAACTGGTGGAAATTTCCATCATAACATTGAATGTTCAAAAATTATATAAAAGAACAATTTCACTTTAAGTTGATCGTGTCTGGATACCTTTATAATGTCCATTGTAGAAGAAAAAACCGTAGCTGTCAAATTTATTTTTTTAACAATTTTTTCTTTAATTTTAAACATGAATTATATCACCTTGATTTATTTCATCAAAAAAAAAAATGCAAAGAAGAGCTAATTTTAAAACAATTTTTAGAATTTTGTTTGCAATTGACAAAGTATACTTTCATATTGCTCTGTATTAATTTTTTAAGGGTACAATATACTATATATTTATTCTGTGAAGTTCATTGTACTACTTATGTTTACTGACGACGGTTTCCTTTCCTTTAGGTGGTCCGTCAGCTTGTTTGTCATAAAGAAAGAAAATGAAATACAGGTGTCGTTAAATAATTTAAATTGTTGTGAAACAAGAAACCTAACATAGTAGTTTCTGCGTAATGTGTACAGAGTAGATCAATAGATAAAAATATTGTTTTATTGTTGTATAGATTTAATGAAAGTATTGGTTTTCTAATTAGTAAAATAAAACAAATCAGCAATATAATATTATTGGTTTCACAATTATTTGCCACGCTTAACCGTTACATGCAGATATATACTTAACAGTAGATAATTTTAATGATAATTTAACAATTCTTTCATTAAAGACAATAATATAAGAGTAAGTAAGTATATTTAGATTCCTAATTAGTTATATACATAACTATTAAAATAATCTTACGTGATATTTCTATTAAAATGAGAAAAACACTTCTAATTACGGACAAGGGTTCAAATAAGTTAAAGTAACTTTTATTTATAATTTTTGATAACTACTACGAAATGCAACTTTATAGGGAGATGGTAATTTTTTTATTTATTAATATTGAAACAAATACGAAATTAATTACAGGAAAATACTGATTTTTGTTTAGTATACTTAGCTTAATCTAACATTACAATTTAACAATACTTCAAAAGACATTAAAGGAGGTTCAGTTTCAAGTCGAGTGTATATCTTAGCCAAGTTTTAGACGTCAAATTACAAATAGGTACAATTTTTTACTATGATAAATTGACTAGAAACGGAGATCAAAATAAGTTAAAATTTGACGCCAATAATCTATAATAAGACTTATATTTAGTATGTATTTAAGCATTGACGACTGTTAGAACACGATTGTACATATATATGCTGCTTTCTATCTTTGAGAAGGGATCAATATGATTTCCATATCCAATGATCTATTAAATATCTTTTAATTTCAAAAATTCACAAATAACAATATTCATGTAAAGCTAGTACAATATCTGACAATGTTATACCGTCGTATATCAAATTATAATTCGGCTGCTCACTACGAATCTTCACTTGGGGCGGTCTGACCGAGTGTTTCTTGTCACTTGACGAACTAATCCCTTTATTGAAATTGATTCCGGTAGGGCTATATATAAAGGCTAATTGTTTTAAGTCTGCAGGTAATTTGGGCGTTGTTTTAATGTATGTGGACTCTAAATTTGGCAAATTGGCTCTGTGCTGTGAGAAGGGAGGGTTGGGCAGTCTACCGTCCGAGACCGGTCCACAGCAAGCCAGGGTCATGGTGGTTGGCGCCCGGGTACCCGCCGTCCGCCTCCACGAACGATCTGCGGTTGTAAGATCTACGTACAACAATATTTTAGACAATATTTATGTGAAGTTATGGTATAATGTAAAACATCTTGTTGCTCATGAAGTGAATATATTTGGTTTGATATACTATCAAATGATACTGTTTTATATAAATAATTAAAGTCATAGGAAATAAGTTGATGAATGAGCTTGTGTTAAGCGGCAGAAATACGTGCAAAACAGTCAGCCATGTGATTGCTATACAAAATTCCCCTCCGATAAACATGTCTATTTCTAAAAATTACATAATTTTCTAAATAATTTTATTGCATGACATGAAACAGCATTAATGTCATTGGCTGATGATGATTCCTGAAATTAATGTACGTAGTACATACATAGATTTAGAATTTAATTATTTTTCAGAAATGGCCCGAGTTTTATAAAAAAATATAATATATTAAAATTTGATAAGTTTTATTATTAGAGTTCATAAATCTTTAAAATAATACATAAATATATTACTTTTATTACTTAACTTAGATAATCTTAAATAACATAAGGCTGGTTGAATGTGCAAAGTCATGTTGCTAAATGAACAACAGAATATTTATAAAATGGAATTCATAAAAAAGACGTGATTGTGACAACATGCCACTTTCTAATTAATGATAGTAGATGAAGAATGTGAACTTATCGGTAATCTATTTGATGTGTCAACTTGAAAATAAAACTATCGATTTACATTGAAGAATTGGGTATAAGGGTGACATTACGTGTAGTTTGGAATGTGGTATTACCATGGTGGTCGGGGTCAAAAAAGTATATTATATCTGTATTATTTTCAATGTTACCTTTCCGAATATGCTAACAGATTATGATACTGATTACAATATTATTTATAATATTGTATTTTTCTCGATCTCTCACGCTAGACATACACTTCAGTAGAATTCAACAAAAATGCAACCAACTACCGTAGAAATTACTACAGAAACACACTCTAAAAGAAATTAGTAACAAATCGAAACATTCTACAATTAATCGATTTTTATTTGTTTATGTTTTATTAAGTTCCATTGAAATAGTCTAGCGATTAGACTATACGCTATATGGTAGTAGGTCTGGATAATATTAGAAGAGATGTTAGAGTGATTACAAGCAATGGCAGTTCGCATACGGGAAAACGTTCCGTAGGGCGACCTCTCTTCAATTCGACCGACAATCACCGCAAAAAAGTAGAAAAAAATAGATGCTGTTGCATCTAGCAGAGGACCGCATTAGTTAGAAAAAGTTGAGGAAGACTTATATCCAAAAGTAGTTCGGAATCTGATGATGAAGAGTGATGATGTCACGTCAGTGCATGCTCACCTGATATTTCCAGTGGGACGCAGTGGACGCAGTGCATGTAGTCTCCTCATTCCCGTGCCGCCGCCACCGCCACCTTAGAACGTGAAGCGAGATTTTATAAGTGACAAGTATGTGATAAAGACACACTAAATTCGAATGTTAAATACATGTTTTGACAATTCATGATGATCTTTATTTTATGCTTTCATCATGTAGTCTATCGTGTGTTCACATACATTTAAGATAAATACAGCATTTATTAATTTTAATGGTGATGCACGGCATTTATATACTACTATATTTTATTTCTTTTCATTTGAGAGTTTCCTCTTGTTGTAGCAACTAATTCATGCATTCTCTTCCAGCCAGCTCTATTTTAGGCCATATCTTTGACCTCCTTATACATATGTCACCTATTGTTTCCTTTATCTGTTCCATGCAGTTATTTCTCGGTTTTCCCTTTCCTCTTTTGCCCTCTTTTTTCCTTCTAGTATGCTCTTTAAAAATCGTCATGTATAAGGTGGTGAACCACATTGCATTTTGCCTCTTCTATTTATGATAAAATATAAATTACAGATAATTGTATGTTTAGGTTTTTTTAATAAATTGAGACAATTTATGAGTAAAGCCTTATGGTTTTATTAAAACAGTAACTTAATACAATTTTTTTATATATTTTCTTTTCCGATAGTAGCGTGCAAGTGTATACCTTTGCATTCTGCTACTGGCGCTCATATTTATTATATTAATACTATAATGCAATAATATCATGTGTTGTGTAAATACATGAAATTTCTGAAAAAAAAAATCCCTAAAGTTAATGACATCGATTGTTATGACTCACAGATGCAACGCTTGTTAAATATAAATTAGCAATTATAAAGTTATTTTGGACAAAATATAGTAGCATATATAAACGTTTAGAAATGAGCCGTTTACATATTTGCGAAAAAAGTTTTGAATTTCTTTACGATCAATATGCTTAATAAAATAAATATAAGACTGTAATATAAGACTGTAACTGTAAGTTACTGTGTTCCACAAAAAACTGCTGTCAATTATGGCAAAACTAGTTATTTGAAATACTACTGAACCGATTTCCAATCTGTAAGTATATTCTTTCAGATAAAAAAAAAAGGATTTTTTTAAATTGGTTTATAACTGGTGGAGTTATGAGGTAACGAACATAAAAAAAGGCCGAATGGAGAAACTCCTTTTTTTAAGTCGCTTAAAAACGAAGAATAATTTTCATAGATAGGTATCAATTTTGTTTGCATTAATGGACATACATAAATCAAGATACATTAAAATATTAACAAGTATAAAGTATATATAAAATGCATTCAAACAGAAGTCGCAGTTAATAATATGCAGGTTACATATATAATTATTAACATCATTGCTCTACAAAAGGCAATAACTCAGTATATATATGTGTCTGACTCATATATAGATAATTCAATATAATAGATATGTTTGTTCAAGGAGCAAACCACTAATATTCTTAAGGACATTGTACGCGGACACGTGCAACACACCCGCGTATATTTGTAAAATTACATAACATAATAAAAGTGAATATAATAATAATTTAGACAATAGTTAATAAAGGAAAATAAGTGATTTAGAGACGTGGTACAATAATGTAGAAACTTTTAATTCTATCGTTACAAATTAAATTTCTCTTGTGTGTATTTATTTTTATTTACCACTACCATCGTTTCCTTTGGAGTGAGTGTCGTAAGAGGTGACTAAGAGAACATAATGGTCGAGGGATGGGCAGCAGAGTCTCTCTTAAAACATCACCAAAGCCTAATTGCGGCTGAAAACCCGTCTGTCAAGCGTGGCTCCCCGCTTGGGAGAGGCCAATGCTCAGCAGTGGACGGTTGATATAATGATGATGACGATGGTAATTGTAATTCGTTACCTATTTCTGTTATTCTATATTCTAAATCATATGCCAGAAATGTTTCATTATTCAAGTATCTATCTCAGTCATTATAAATAGTTCTAGAATCTTGAATTTTAATCACATTTTACAGTATTCTCCATTGTCTTCATTTTACTGTCCATGTCTATAGGTGACGGCTTTTTTATACATGATAATGGAGTGGTAATCCCACCTGCGCTATCGGTATACACTGGTGGGGCACCAGTAAGGGATAATTGGTGAGGATGAAAAGACAGGTCAGTTAGCCCATCGTAACGAAGTTAACGATAAATTAGTCACGATGGTTTCCAGGGGGAAACGCGCGGAAGTCGACCTAATAAAATATTGATAACAATGGGGACTAACGTCCCCATTTCTAACAATCCCTTCCCCCCTATAGGTGATGGTTACCATTTTCTATCAGGTGGGCCGTCCGTATCTTTCCATTCTAAATAGAATAAAAAAAAATGAATTTAACGTGTGAAACCAGTTAACCACATAATCATTTTTGCAAAAGTATATAAAGGAGGCAAAAGTACCTACATGGAATGCAGTCAGACAACTTACGATGATAAAATTTAAATTAAAACGGAACAGTCTTTTAAAATTTAATTTTCCCGCTTCCGTCTAAACGTGTAGGAAGGTCTTAAATGGACCTAATTTGTACGCACGCACTGTACACTTCAATGGTAGCAATAAAGGTCACTTACATCACAATATTGCTGTTGGATGAACTGGCAAACCTTTGTCAGAAGTGTCAAGTGCTATCAACATTTTATGCGCATTTGGCATTTCATTGAATGTCCGATTCACTTGGGGTTCTTTATTAGTAATTGGTTACTTTAACAGCTTAACCAATCATTATGAAATTTGGTATACACATAGAATGGAGACGTATGTAGCCTACTTTTTATCTCGGTTAGTAAAAATATCCTGGTCACGCGGATGAAGTTACAAGTAAAAGCTATAAAATATTATAAATAAAAAGCATTATATATAATATTTTATTATATATAATGTCCATAATTCTTCATGCCACTTGTGAAACAACTAAATCAACGCGTCAATATGAAGTTTTGTTGTAAAATTGTCTGATCCTTGTAAAATATTCTTTAAAATTCACCCAATATATTCTAGTGTGTAATACTTTAACTTCTTCCATTCCACTACTCGTTGTTCAATTTAATTAGATACTTTGTTATATCTATATTAGGTTATGGGCCCAGCATGCTTCCTTGTGTTGAATCTTTAAATATTCGTTATTTAGTTTTTTATGTGGCTCAAAGGTCAGATTATTGGTATGATTACGTGGCGTTTATTATGAAGTGTAAATATTTGGTAATAAATGTAAAAAAATCATTGTGATGAAGCATGGACCTTTAAAAATTGGTTTATAATCATTGCTGCTGGAACATTGAAAATCTATAATTATTACGAATCATGTGCTATAAAATTGGTTTGGTAATTACAAATCTAGACTACGTTTAAGAACACGTTAGAAATTGCTCAAATTAGAGTAGAATATTTAGAATAATCTTCTGATTTTGCCGACTTTTGTCATGAAACACAATTATTATGATTAATTTCCTTTAATAATAATTAATTAGTAAGTGACATAGTTGAAGTATACCTAGCAAATCACAACTCTATAGGTTTCAACTTATTCTGACTACGCAAACACACTGACATTTGTATCTTTTACTTTTGGTAGGTATTTTCCTATAATACTGATAACTAGAAAATAATTGATTAATTAATAGTATATGTATAGAATTGACATAACAGTATTTATTTATCAAAATATTAAGAAATCAGTTAATAACATACAAAAAAACCTTTGTGGAATTTCTCAGAAACCGACCTAATACATGGAGTGGTTGTTGTATGTATTTACGTTTTCGCGTTATTCAAAGGCATACAAATATCTTTAATCTTGGTTTAGATGCCACTTTGGTAGAAGATTCGACGTAACAAAGAGAAATGAGCCAGTAAAGCAAAACCTAATATCATTCTCGAGTGAACTGCATAGACTATAATGCAGTATATGGGAATAAAATTTATTTAATACACAACGCTTCCATTCAACGATAGAAGTTTATGACCATCCCCTAACAATTGTAGTTCAAAATACAGCCTGTCCGAAATTTTCCTATTTCTTAATACTTTATTATTTACTAACGATGCGCTCGTGCTTTGAATGGCTTTTCAAAATAAAATACAACGCACGTCGCTCACTGGCAATGTATCTTTATAAAGGTGAAAGAATTTTTAAAATAAGTATAATATTTTACCTTTAGGAAGAGGTCTATATTCAGCAGTAGACAGTAGACGGCTGGTATTGTGATGACATTTGAACATTTTTACCGTTCTTTCCGTTTTTAAATCTTTAAAAGTGTTTACCATTTTAATTATTACATGTATATTAATTTGTAAGAAAAATGTACATATGCATATTAATAATAATTATTATTGAAAAAAAAAATTATTATTAGTATTCAATTCAAATTTAAAAAAATTACTCGATCTAGGAAAATTTTTATCTAATTACTTGCAACACTAAACAAAATGCATATTTTCTTTTGATTAAAAAAATATAAGTTAGCTATTAGATTTTTATTTATCCCATATTTAGAACTAACAAAATTTTTCATCGTGCCTCCCACCAAATTGTTTATAATTAATCCCTCTCCATCCAAAGGTTGCCTGGAAGAGATCGCTCTTAGCGATAAGGTCGCCCATTGTTTTTTCATTGTGATTATTTCTTGTAATTATTTATATTTATAATAAGTTTACTATTGTAATCTTTTGGAGGAAACAATAAAGAGTATCTATCTATCTATTAGGTGAGTAAATTTTAACCCGTTTTAATATTATATGTTCTATCTATATAAACTATGAATATTAGTTATTATTTAGATATAAGAAAGTATAGATACTTGCGATTGCACGTCATTGTGTCAATGTATTTATAACAATCCATTTCAACTTGAGTCTTAGATACTTTATTTATTCTGATGCATAATCTATTCGTTCGTCCCACGTTCAATAACAAAGTTTAATTAGTTATTTGTCCGTTTGTCTGTCCTACCTTAATCGCAAGGGACGGGAGTTGTGGATACTGGTATATTACAATGCATTAAAAAGTAAGTAAGTTTGTTCATTACAGGGATTTAATTACTCGACTACACAAGTTGTTATAACTTAAGGCACTAGAAAAGTTTATAATGAGTACTAAGTTAGGAGCGAAACATCTCATGGGAATGTGATGGGCAGATTGAGTTCACTAGTTCCATTTGTATTGAATGATTTGCGTGGCATCATGTATGATTATTCTATAGCTATGATTTAAGACTGTAGCATAGTGTATGTGACGATAGTTGACATGTTGACATTTTTTACTGTAAAACAATGCCATTTAATAAAAAAAATTCTGCTTTTTAAAATCGAAGTCTCTTTCTTTTTGTAAATTATTTTTAAAAATAAAAATATTTTATTTAATTTATTAAATGTACAGAAGTTAGGTACGTTTTAGTAACATTTACTTCTATGGCTTTAGTGAACCAACAATGCATCATGCACGGAATCTCAGAAAAAAAACTTTTGGTTTAAAAAAAAACACTTCATTTAATTATAATATGAGTAGGTACAGTTCATATCAACAATGTTATTGACAAACAAACAGTGTTAACTGTTAATTTAAGTACAAACTTTAGCCGATTTTCAGTTTTATATAATTTCTACAAGTCTTTTTCTAACATCTCATGATCTAAAATCCAGTGTGAAATGAAAAATGCTCATGTATTTGATATCGGATTTCATGATTGATTATGAACTTATAAATAAATCTTTAATTTTAATTATTTAATATGAATTTATTAATAAATAAATAAATTATGAGTAAGTAAACATTTAACCGTTATGTCAGAAGGTTAACAAATTGTATTTCCAATAAGTAGAGTTGAAAGGAGAAAATACAGTAGTATTATAGTTTTTAAATAAAATTCAAAATATTACCAGGATATAAGTACTAAATTTATTGGTGCGTTTTTCAATGAACGCCTTCTTAAACCAATTTCAAAAAGAAGGTTCTCATTTCGATTATATTTTTCTGTTTTTATGTTTGTTACCTCACAACTATGTCAGTTCTAAATAGATTAAAAAAAAAACATCTGAAAGGATATACCTAGTTACAATTTGGTCTCATAGAAATTTTATCAACATCGGTTCAATAATTTAGTTTTTTTTTTTATCAAAATAACTGCTTTCGTCACAACTGAAGTCAATTTTTTGTAGGACACAACCTTTAGTTATATATTACGCCAAGTACTAGATATCTTCTATAGTAAGTATTATCTCAGATTTATTTTCCTATTACTAGTTTTCTTATTATGAGTTTATTTCTTTTATAACTTTAAATATGAAATCGTAATTTATGTTACAAACACGATAGATGCAGTAATGAAACATGCAAAAACACAAAGTGTAAAATGGACAGCGTTCCGCAGCGAGTGAATAGAAAAGTTTTTAAATAGAAAATGTCGCGTTTTATCTGAGACTAGTGAGTTATATTTAAAATTTAATTGTAGAAACATTGTATATAAACTACATACGATACTGTAACTGAATCCTCTACTATTATATACACACATATATTTTGCGTATTAATAAAATTAAGTCTTAATCTCTTATCTTAAACTTAATAAGTTTTCATTTAGTCTTAATAGAGCTTGATTTACTCCGGCTAATTTCTTTTTTTGTAACCCGCACCCGCCTATGCTAATGGTATACAATGGCAGGGTACCAGTGAATGGAGGATGAAGTCAGGCAAGTTAGCTAATCGTGGCGATTCACTGAGAATACTCTAGTTTCCCTTCAAAACGAGTCACTGAGAAATAACTATATGATGATACGATGGTTTCCAGGGGGAACCGCTTGTAGGTCAACTCTTAGTAATGGCGATAAACATCTCTCATAACTATCAATCGCTTCCCCCCTCCCACTTTCGATTCATACTTATAAAATTTAAGTCGAAATACGTGTAGAGGATCAGTCCTCTACACGTATGTCGTCATTATATTGTCAGCAATAACAGAATTATAGGAAGAATTTTAGCAGTGTATGAAAGAATTTACTTACATAAATAAGTTGACGTAATTAGTTTTTATATAAATTGAGATACATACAGCGTCTATCTTCATAATGTATATAAATTTGTACAAATTATAACTGACGTTATTAATTAGCCATCATAGTTATTTAGGCTATACAATTTGTTCAACTGTTTATCTAGAACTACAAAATTGATTTAAAAAATTCCTCATTTTCAGATTATTGCACATTTCCTATTTTTTAAGCAAGTAAAACTGCGGGGCGTAGCCAATTGGATGTTTTATTTTCTTCGAGTTAAGCCAGTCCGACGGGAAGTTAACTATTAATGCAAATAAATTCTGGAAATAAGTTTTTAACTTAAGTTAACTTAAGTCTTTAAAGACTCTTTTCTTTTCATAGGATTAATACACAGTTTATTCACGATTTTAGAATTTTCTCAATCCCCATAACAGCAAATTATTTTTTATGTGTGGGAAAGTTATTACTAATAAAGTGGGTACATTACCAGCAGACGGTGCGTGAACTACAGTTGGAGGGTCTTGGAACAGCGTGGACCGTTGCTGCGGCGATAGTGCGGCGAGCGTCTCCAAATTATCGCGAAGAGAATCAAAGAAAGAGCCCACGTCGTTAAGGACACCTGTAGGAAACAATAATTTAATATACATTTTTTGTAGGTATAGTTTTAAAATAATTACTAATATTATAAATGTGAAAGTAAGTTTGTTTGTTTGGGAACTTTTAACCTCTTAAGTCGTTACTTCTTTTTGTTTCGGTAATGAACATATCCCAACGGACAAACAAGCGGATAAAAACTAGTGTAAGTAGGTATCACAAGTCATCATCATATCAGCCGTTAACTGTCCACTGCTAAACATAAGCCTTTCCCAGAAGGGGAATTTTGCCAGCAGTTACTACGCTTGGCAGGCGGGTTAGCAACTGTAGTTAGGATTTTAGTGACGTTTTAAGAGGGACGCTGCTGAAGGCTGCTTGAGGGGTCCATTCTATGCCGGGAGTACACGGCGAATACCAAGTCTATACATAGGATCCAGATAATGTTTAAAGAGATATGACGAGTCGCTTACAATAGGATGTACTTGTGAGATTTTAAATAATTAATTTTATTTAATAACAGTTCCTATATATATAATGAAGTCACGTGACTTCATTAGAATAAAAAGTAAACTGTATAGAATAAGGGAAGCTTCTATCTCAAATTCTACGTGTATATCAAAAAGGCCGTAAACAAACTCATTTTCATTTTTATAATATTAGTAGTTGATGGAAAGTTTATGAATTTTCGCCATTTGCTTATTTATTAATTTGTTGTTTTTAAGTGAAGAATAAAATATTACGTGCAGTTTTTATTGATCCTCCTCCCTTCAGTCTCTTTAATACTTTTTTTTTGTCTTGAAATTATCAAAAATGTATTGAACATTAAAACAACATTACAATGTGAATAAAATGTTGTTTTAATGTTGTTAAGTGGGGACAGCAATGAGCGTGCGGTTGTCTAATCTCGCATCCCTGTGTAAATACCATGAAACGATATCTTTGTACATACATTTCATCGACTGTATTTTACATTTAAAAATACACCTTTTCCAGTGGAAACAAAAAAAAATATTTTTATTACATTTTGTTACAGAAACGTTGCATATTATCAAGAACAACATTATTTTAGATTAAAATGTTTATCATAATGTTTTTATATTCTCTGTACCGTCTGTATCTACTGTGATAGAATCATAATGTGAGTGGATAAGTATATTGATTATTTTTTCCCAGAAAAAAAATTAATTAAATACGTTTAAAATCAGCGAATATTACCTCAGCGGATTACAAATAAGCAACGGAATTTGAATCAGTCGCTTTTCGAAATTTAGGTATGAGTTTTAGATATCAGTAAATTGATTGGAAACAGATGAAGCAAGTGATGCATGTAAGAGGTATAGAGACATTTGACACTTGATTCTCTCTGCCTACCCCACAAGGGACTTAGTGTGAAAATACATTATTTATGAGTAAGAGAAATATTTAAACGAAGCTGTTTACACCAGTAAATAGGTAGTTATTTCTGTAAAAACAAACAGTAAGCTAGAACCTAGATGGTGGTAAACAACGCAGTAAATACAGCTCGATTGGATTCATCTAGAACATTTACAGAGTACTAAAATTTGTGTATATGAGAACCCGAATCACTTGCCCAATTGATAACCCTATGTAAGTATACATATGGTTAGTATATAACAAAATATTATATAGAACTACTTGTTCGAGCATTAACATGAATATTTTGTTATATTGATACATATTTATGGATGACCTTGATTTGCAAACAGTGGTCTGTTCTATGTAATCACTAACTAATTATTGAGAAAAATTTTTAATTTACGTGGGAACTGTGGAATGTCTAATAATTATTTTTTTTATTTTATTCTATTCTATTCTAAACCCCTTGAATATCGATAAAGGATAGTTTAAGAGTCAATCTTACGCGATTACATCGCCTATTCTGAACCGATTTTGATAATTATTTTTGAAATAGATTAGATAGTGTTTGTTTCCGTGTTGATTCCATCGTAATTTTGTTAAAATTAAATTGAGAATATAAATAGGTAAACTTACATGATTTACTAGATATTTAAAATTATGTTAAAAAAAATTACTTCTATGTATTTATTAAAAAATAATTTTGATAGAATTTTTATAAGTCTAATCTGAAAGTATATCTTAAGATAAAAAAAAAATCCCAAATTGGTTTATAAATGACGCGAGTTCTGTCAATAACAAATAAAAAAAGTACAACCGAATTGAGTAGCTCCTCTTGTTTTTGAAGTCAGTTACAGTTTAATAAACAGTAAGTGGCATAGCGACAGTGACGTAAATAGATTATGACATCTCAGAAGGATAGTACACACAAGTATGTGCGTCGCGGGCAGCCACGTATCTCATACTCGGTAATAAAATGAGGAAGTAGGCTAAGCGGCATAGACTAATGGATAATATACAAGCAGTAAACAGTGAGAGCTCCACTTATTTAGATATACTACTCGAAACAGCGGCTTTGTCTACTTAAATTAGGATAATAATGTTATTTTTTTTATACTATTTAGAATGGCAAACAAGCTGACGGCCTACCTGATAGAAAGTGGTAACTGTCGCCTATAGACATAAACAGCATCATGGACACAATAGAGTATGCTGTTACGCCCATGATACCTCTCATGCGTTGCCATTCTTGAGGACTCAGGTGTTATTTCTCTGTACCCTGTAAATTCACTACCGTATCCCACTCTTCAAACCGTCATGCAAACACAACTGCTTCATGGTAGAAATATAAATGAAACAGCGGTGCCCAAGGAAACGATTTATGTACAAAGTCTCCCTCGGGTATTTTAGGATATGGTCGACTAAAATTCAATCAAATCCTTTCAGCGTTTTAAGAGTGCTTGATTAACAAACACATTCAAATATTTTTACAAACTTTTTCATTTATTACATTAAATAGGATAGTATATATTTACACATATATTATTATTGAACAAAGTACTCAATGATCAAATATGAGCTTTATCTGTCGGTTTAATCCGAGGCAATTAATGTAAAAAGTATTTATAAATATTAATCTAAGATATGGTTTAACTTTCTACTTAATAAATTTTAGTTGAGTTGTTTAAGCGTGATTGAAAACCATACATATTGTATGTATGTTAAACATAAATACAATCTGTCTAATTTTGAATATTAGTAGGGTTAAAGGGAGTTTGAAGACAAAGTAGGTAGCCTTGGAATTTGTTTTACCTATTAATCCTGTTTCCAAGAAGCTTGTTTGCATACTTATTGCGTCCTAGTTTTAAGGACTGAATTGCACTGAAATTACTCGACGTTATAACTCATGGTGGTATTTTTTTAAATTAGTTTATTACAGTATACAATTAAATATATAATTTTACAAAGTAAAGCAAGCATAGCATAGCTAAGAAAAATATACTTAAAGATATGATTCAAATCTGTCTTGTGTATCAGTGGTGCAGGTAGAGTAGGCATTAAAAGGCTATTTCTGTTGGACGTTGATAAATTAGGTGAAATCGATATTATCAGGTGTATTTTACTAGAGAAAGCATCAACTGCTCCCAAAGGAACATGATAATCTGCTATATTAATTATTTTATGGTACGTGCAGCTCCGTAATCCTCTAAATACCTGTCATACCTGTAATAGACTGATATATTTGTTTAAATTACCTTGACATTAAATATATTGTGTTATAAAAGTGCTAGTGTAATATATACTCGTAATAATACTTAGTTATAAGGTCTTGATTTTTGACGCAACTGTCAAGTGTTATGGTGAACAGTGAAAGTGTTGTCTCGGCGTTGCTTACCGACGCCGACATACGGCGTGACTGCCTTACCGAGCGCCGGCGTCGGCTGACGTCTCCGGCGGCCCGAGTTCAGTGCAGTCGCCACCGCTGATCTTTTTTCACTTTCAATTCGCCTGAGGACAATTTTCCGACATTATATACAGTAAATGAAATTGAAATCGTTAGCTGTATTTAAAAGTAACAATGTACATGGCTTATGAATCTAAAATTCACTTAATCACAACAGCTAAACTCTCCATGTTAGTACGAAAGGCTTAGTTTTTTGTTTTTTTTTTTCAACCCATGTTTTTCTTTTCTCTTCAAAGGATGCTAACTATTAATTGTATATGGTTTATTGCACTTGTAAGACGATATTACAGCGGAATGGTTATAAAACTTCAACAAGGGTGTATAAAGTGGATAAAAACCAATTACTTTCATAAAATAAATGCATCTATTTATACTAACCTTACATCGTCGTCGACATAATTTTTCATGTAGTCTTTGTTTTCAAGGGTCATGTGGGCGGTAAGTGGATCCAGGTTGGCTGAACCAACGTCAAGTTCGATACGCGGGGGACGGTCCAAACGATTGTGGCCCAATCCGATCCATGGCTTGTCAGTCAAGAGCCGAAGAATGTCTAGGCTTTGAGTTCGGTAATCTCGTTGGGCCACAATGGATGTAGCACCTTGAATAAACATATATGTGTTTAATAATTAATATAAAATTCACTCTATGGAACTTTCCAGTTAGATACCTCTCTTTTTTCAGTGGATGAAAATGAAATGGAACTACACCTGCGCTATTGGTATATTTTAGCGGGGTATAGTATTTTATTGTAAAATCTTTATTGTACATATTTTACACTAGACACATTAAGAAGATTTAACATACAATGACAGACTTATCTCATAGATCAGGGTTTTTCAAACTTATGGCTCCACGTACCCCTATAAGGATTTCTACTTTACTGCGAACTTCTTACAAACTGATTGTCGATAGAACAAATAAGATATTTCATTAATGAATGAAGTACAGAGTAATAGATAAATGTTATTTCTATTATTTAGTTAATTGAATGTGATGGGTGTGCATATATTTTAATGCAAATGGTTTCGAATATCGAAGAAATTTTGGACAATTTCAATCTAAATCCAGGTTCAGAGTTCAGTCGATTCCTGCAATCTTGACATGACCAGGTATGAAAACTTACTCTTATATAACTAAATTATTACGGAAGACAAAAAAAAATTCACCGCTTTTTTGATGAAAGTTCCGGATATTCTTTTTGTCTCGCTACCAAAAATATATTTTAAAAGTCAGCTTGAAGAGATGTTCAGACAATTCCAGCAATGAGTCATGATGCTTAATACCCAAACCATTAAACTTGGTTTGAGCTTGCTTGCGTACGTCATGCTTGTTATATATGTAAATCAGCTAAGCTGCAGCCATTACATAAATTTTGTCGGGTATCTTATACGATTAACTGATATACCTACCACAAGGTATATGCGTGCCCTACTTTGAGAAACCCTGCCATAGAGAGATCTCTTACGCTCAACATTTGAGAAGCTGAAAGAAAACTTTAGAATGTTCAAGGGTCAAAATGGTACAGTTAAAGGTAAAATTTTATAATTCCAATGAGGAATGATAGATTAGGATGAAGATAGGTCAGTCAGTCTATCTCTATAATATGTTCATTTGTTTGTTTTAACGTGTTAATAAATAGATATTTCTTTCTTTCTTTAATTATTTTTTACTTTAGTTTTTTCTTTTTTTCTTAATCTATGAAATAATCAGTAGGATTTGAATTATTATTTTTGAATTTGATACCTCATTTTTTCACCCGATTTCAAAAAAGGAGGATCTTAATTGGTTTTATTTTTTATATATTTATATTTGTTATCTCATAACTTCCTTAATACTAAACCGATTTGAAATTTTTTTATATTTGAAAGGATATATTTACAGATTAGCCTCATAGAAATTTTATCAAAATCGGTTCAGTAGTTTAGTTTTACATAATTTTTTTTGGACACAATCTTTAATTATAAGAAGGTAATACAATAATAAGGTAATACCTTACTAATACAACTATGGACGAAGCCGCAGGATACAGCAAGCCGATAATAAATTACTTTGTATTCATCATGATAATATCCAAGGAGGCCGTATGGAAGTCAACTTGACAGGTATACTGCTACCCATTCCCTAGTAAACTCTACCAAACTTATTTATCTATACAATAAAATAATAAAAAAATTGTATACGCACCACCACATACATGTTACATTAAAAAGTACAATTTCTTTAAATTGAAATAAACTAAGGAAACAAAAATTGTTCTGTCACATTTGAATAAGGGGAAATTGTAACTTTGTATAAATTGTATAATTATAAAGTGGCAAACCGTGTTGACCTCAAATAAAGAGTATCCACCTCCATTTAAAAAACCATTAGGTTATCTGAATTCCCCATTGTGTAGACAATACGGCAGTTCCCCAGAACAAATGTAAAAGGTAACTGTAACATATCATCGGCAGTACAAATTTTATATAATAACTTTCAAATAAAGAACAACTGGTCAAGTGTAAGTTGAATTTGCACTCCGAGGGTTTCGTACACGAATCGGACGATAAGTCATATCATAAGGGTTCCTTTGCACCATTCAAGTGCGGAATTCTAATTATAGTAAGGAGAGTTGGGGAAGAAAAGGGATTGTTAGTAATATTCGCTGACAATACAACCTGCCAGGTCGATCTTCTCATGGTTCCCCCTAGAAACTATCCATTCACTCTACAATTTGACGTCATCACTACCAGCTAGTTAAATATTGTTCTACACTGCATTTGTGTGTACCAGTAGACCAATATAGTTTTTTTAACCCATCAGTCATTTGAAACATTTGACAGATCCAGGAATATAACATTTTATTATGTGTTACTTTTGCACTATAATATTGGATTCTTCAACATGTGCCGACAATTTTTTTTAAAGATTGACAATTTTTTCATATGTTGTGAAAGGTCCATTCTCTTAGATTTACATAAATTGTTATAGAATATATTAAATATCTTGTTATAATGCTTGTTTTATGCCTACGTTTGATCTCTACTTAGGAGAAATGGTTGTAACTCATATGCTTCTAGTTCTAGCCCTCGAGTTCATTTTTGACCCTCAGTTGAAAAGATATATACTACTACTAGATAGAGGTATATAAATTATTGGTTACTAGACATTAAAAATGTAATACTATGATGGCTCGTAATATATAGATACTTAGGTATTATCATTTTAATATTTATTTATTTAACACTTTATTGCAACAACATTATAGGATTTGTTGAACAATTTCCAATAAGTATAGTATAGAACAAAAGGTGGTCTTATTACTAAACAATCTCTTTCAGACAAGTAAGTCGCTAGCATTCTATTATTATTTAATTGTTTTTAGACACAAAGTTGTTCATATTATCAGGATTTGTTGGTCAACCGGGATAAATACGAGTAGTATGTCCTTTTTCAACCCAAATAGTAGGTACCAAATTTCATGACGATTGTTTGATTCATTAAAGCTCTATAAAGTAACAAACAAACTCTCTCTCACGTTTATATTTATAATTCATAAGATTATTAATATTATATATATATATATATATATATATATATATATATATATATATATATATATATATATATATATATATATATATATATATATATAGAGGAATAACACCTGAGTCCTAAGGAATGGCAACGCATGGGGGGTATCATGGGTGAAACAGTATAGTCTGCTATGTCCATGGTACTGCTCATGTCTATAGGCGACGGTTACCACTTTCCATCAGGTGGGCCGTCAGCTTGTTTGTCATTCTAAGTTGCATAAAAAAAAAAAAAAAGTTCAACCTTCAAAAACACACCACATTCAATTCGGCAGAGTAGTTTTTGTATGACGCTGAACGAAAGTACAGATAGACAAAGGTTTTAAAAAGTATTGCTTTAGTTTCTAATGGTAATTAAGACTGTCAAATCTCCTATAAAATATATTCTGTGCACGAATATCTAGCCAGAATTATATGTACTCGTGTATAGGTAAATGTCATGTAGTGATATTTCATTCTTCATATCTTTGACCTTCCATATTCAAATTTCGCCACATTTCTCGGATCGCAATTGATAAATACAACCCTTGTCATCGTAAAGGATTCGCCTACTATTATTGTTGTCTAGGAAAAAAATCAATTTTTTATGATCTGTCGAAACCATAGACACCATTCCTACGTTTAATGATAAATATAGAAAATAATTCAGTGAAAAGATTTTAGTTATGTTTCGGAACAGAGACGACAACCAACCTAATGTATTTAGTTTTGTAGGTAACTTTATTACATAAGGTGGAAAAAATTTAAAAGAAACCATGACTTAAAATGAAAATTAATAAAACATGAAAAATAAACCCTACTTATATTTATTGTATCAGTTCTTATGGTCGATTATATGAACGATTTAATTTTCTTTTTTTTTAATTGTTATTATAAAATTTCCTTAATTTATTTTATTTTCTTTGTTCTTGTTTTATGCTCATTTATTATATTTGACAAATTCATTTGCTTCAAACATACAATTAACTTCCTCAACTGCCTATAGGTACGTCTTTACAAGGTCCTTACTTAATATTAAGGATAAAATATTAAAACATATGTTTATATATGTTTATTTATAACGTACAGAATTACGTAAATTGTTATAAATAGAATCATTAATGTTATATTAATTAACGGCTACCGTTAAAGAAAATGCTTTCCTTAATGCAAGATAAAAGGTTTCGAAGATCAGAAGCAAGAAGAAAGATTATAACAATTTCATTACCTCTACGTCATAAGCATTTGTTTCATTATAATGAAATATATTTCAGAAACTTTTTTTTTTAAACTTTAATCAAATGTTTAACTGTTGTTAGGAAATAAGTTTGAAACAAACTTTCTTTACAAAATGTTTGGTAATTTATAAGTTGTTTAAAATATTTAAGGATCTCCTCTACGTTTATATTTAACTAATTAAAATATAGTAATAGACTTTTATTGTTCAAAGGCAATTGGTTGTTATTTTTACAACCATTTCTGTCAGCGTCATGTAGAAAAAGTTCGTAATGAGATGAAAATTATATCCAAACGACTGGTCTAATTTTAAGCTTATTGATATAAAAAACATAAAATTGTGTTTCCGTATGATGGTATAATATAAACACCTAAGTTTTCAGTTTGTAGCATTCGATTTTCTTTTCGAATATAACTGCCTTATTTCTTTAACATTGCTCTTTGTTTCGTCACTCATTTTCAATTCATTTTATTTTCCCAATAATTAATAATAATATACTTGTAAACAAAGAAGAAATACACTGCATAATTATCTTATGTCTATTTTACTTCCTACATTAATATATTCATCATATAATTATAAATATTCACATTTCTTATAAAAACCAACGTTCTCACTAACCGTTAAAAATTTCTAATTAATTCAAAATATAGTAGTATACGTATACTTTGTAATAAAAGTACCTCTATATCTCAGTATAGTTAATAAAAACAACACTTTACGTATATTAGTGTTTTTTTCCGTAGGCACTATGCTTATCTATGATTTTTTCTTTATTGAAACTACAGAGTATCTACTAACTATCCTAGG